AATCTTTTGTTAATGGGCCATTGAGTCTCACTAAATGACTGATAAAATGACATTATCTCATTGTGAGCTGCTCCACCCAGGGGGAGGAGCCATGTGGTGACATGCCTCGGGGAAGACAAAGAGTTACATTGTCCCACCCCAAACGCCTTGTGAAAGACGGCCCAGGAATTCTGATTGGGTTTGAGTCCCTGGGGGTTTCTCCCTTGTTGTGTTTCTAGTGGTCCCTGACCCTGAACTCCACCCTCAGGGGTGGAGGCCCTCGGGAGTTCTGCCCCTCAAAAACCCCTGCCCTGGCTTTGATCGGGGCTCTTTGTTCTGGATCTGAGTTTGTTCCCGTGCTGAATAAATGGTTTAATGAAGAAAGGCCCGTCTCGTTGGTGTTCCATGCTGGTCCCCAGAACCCTGCAGCTTCCCTGGATGAGATCCTGAGGTTGCGGACTGCAAGAGAGCCAAGCATTCCTACTGCGATATAATCAGAGACTTGGAACACTACAGTCAGCCTTCCTCCACTGGATTCCCAGAGGAAAAAGACCAGACCCATTTACACCACCGAACCTTCAGAGGAAAACTACACCCTTCTACAGGATCATTACTTCAACAGAACAATGTCTGTCACTCCAGGAGGACTGCAGCCACCATTCAATCCGACTGCTACCAACACCCTGACCAACAGGGCATCTTTATCAGTGGGTTGTATTTTTGTTGGTTTTCTTTTTTTTTGTACTACTGCATTTTTATTTTAATTTCCTTAGTAAAGAACTGTTATTCTTATTCCCATATCTTTGCCTGAGAGTACCTTGGTTTCAAGATTACAATATTTTGGGAAGGGGGGTGGCGGTTTACATTTTTATTTATTTCAGGGGAGGTTTCTGCTTTCCTTAGCAGACACCTGTCTTTCTCAAACCAAGACAGCATCTCTACATATACATATAACTGAAGTCAATATTACACCAAATATCCCATCACAGAAGTGTTCTGGATGTTCCAATGTAGCTGAACTTTTCTTTTCTTTCTAGACATATATGGAGTTTTAATTTAAGTCATTAAGCAACCCATAGAAATCCAAACTTCTTGAGAACAGTTTTCAACCTTTTGAACTAAACACAACAGAAAATATAAGTAACCATGTATTGCCATAACAATCTGTGCTGGTTTTGGCATGGATGGGCTGGATTGGGATGGAGATAATTTTCTTCACAGTAACTGGTATGGGGTTGCGTTTTGGATTTGTGCTGAAAAGAGGGTTGGTAATACACGGATGTTTTCGTTGAACAGTCTTAAGGGCCTTTCTGTTACCTACCCCACCAATGAAGGAAGCTGAAAGTACACAAGGAATTGGGAGGGGACACATCTGGAGTAGCTGACTCAAGGGATACCCCAAACCACATGTTGACATGCCCAGCACATAAAGCTGGGGGAAAGAAGGGAGGGAGGAATGTTGTGTGTCTTCCCAAGTCTCCATTAAAAGTAACGGAGTGCTGCTTTACTAAGGGGAAGGCTAAACACCTGCCAGGCTATGGGAAGTTGTAAATGAATTCCTTCTTTTGCTTGGCTTGTGTGGATTTTGGTTTACTTATTAAACTGTCTTTATCTCAACCAAGTGAGTCTTCTCACTTTTACTTTTCCAATTCTTTCCCTCATCCCAGTAGCAGGTGAATATGTGAGCTGCTTTGCTCTGAGGTAACAGATTCCAGAAGTCTATTTTACAACAAGAACAAACTTAGCATTGAGTGAAAGGCGTTACACACTGAATTTTTAAAAAGGCAAACTAACTACAAACAGACACACTTTAATGGCACACACCACCACTTCTACACAGGTTCATACACCTGCTCCTAAATATATCCTAGCATGTTTAAACAGTCCTACCACCAGTTGTGGACCATCTTATCTCAATGCTAAGTACATAAGAATTGCTCCAACTTCTTAAGAACAAACCAACCCTACACCAACACAATCCATCTCCCGAAAAAAACCCAGAACCCCAAACAGCCACCTACACAAAACACAGAACCCTAAAGACCACATCAAGTAAGGCTCTGCTCTCTGAGCATGTGCTCCCCTTGCAGACTTTCTAAGTAGAAAGCCATTGGGCGCTTCATTTCTGCTTCTTTCACTACCTTGTTGGCCTTTCTCCTTGACTACATTTTTCATCCAGGCACAATACCAAGGTTAGCAACAAAAGCTTTTTTCCCCCCCTTCCACAAAAGGTTTCAACAGCAGAGTCAAGTATACCTACCCTAGTGTAACTTCCACATTTAATCACAAAATCCTCACCTATTTTTAATTTAGCCAACTACAGTCCAAATAGAATTTACATCTTGGTAAACTGCAATAAATCTTTGGCCACATTGTGGGGGAGTAAGGTACTTCTCACAGAAAAAAAAACCAAAAAAATGTCAGGCATCATACTCCATTTGCAATTAATGTTTCTCTTACTGACAAACATAAATGATGAAAGAAAACACACTCACTTTAAAATAAAAAATCTTTTTTTCCCAGTAAAACATCAAAGTATTTGCCAAAAAATTATGTTGCATTTGAAAAACAAAAATAAGAAAAGGATTTTAATAACCTCAAGATCTCTAACAATCAATCCTTCTCTGAAACTAGAAAAAGGAAAGAAATTGTGTGCTTTTCTGCGAGAATTAAGATGTTTAATATGTCAAATGGACATTAAAAAAACCCCAGCAAAACAAAACAACCTCAAAACTAAGAAACTGCAATCCATTTCAACACCCATTACAATCCTGCTCTCTCACCTGAGAGATGAAAGTAGCACTCCTTGAAGCAATATTCTCTATGTAAAACCATTTGTCACTGATGTCTATTAAGTGTCCACATTTGCTTTCCAGTTTAATCTCTCCAACAGGAAGTCTCCTATTGTTCCACCAGATTATCCCTTGTACAGCACAACTTTTCTATCACTTTTTACTAGCAATTATAGTCAATAATAATAATACACTACACCTGCATCAATACCTTAACTCTCCCCTTCAGCAGCTGGAACATCGCTCTCTATACAACCCTTTATGACAGTGTTATTTTGGGGCGACACAACTTTCAAGAATGATGACCAAAACTTTCAAGATGCAACAGTCGATGTTTAACAGCAACAAATGAGGAGTTCAGCTGTCCCAGATAGGATCAATACCTTGTTGATAACACACAGAATGACAGCGGTAGTACCTCTAGCCCTCTCACAAACCACTGGTACATAAGCACGTAAAAAAAAAACAACATAAGCCCCACAAAAGTAAAAAAAAAAAAAAAAAACAACACTTTCTCAACTACTTCTGTCGCACCCTTTCCTGGCAGAGTGAAGTGCATCTCATTCACCTGCTCTATTGGCTTTTCATTATTTAAATTCTCTTCACTGACAATTACACCCGTGACCTACAAGCTGTAGGTCCATCACATTTATTCTGTATTACAGACAAAAATTCATTGTTCACTTGCAATGCAGACAAAAAAATCTGTCTTCAGCATCTTCAACATACTCTTACAAAAAAAGAGCAAAACCTTAAAGAGAACCAGCTAAATCTTCCTTCTCAGCTCTTTTATAGGATACCTGTCTTTCAAAAATATATATAGTTTCACAATAGAAAGTCAACAGTTTTCATATATGCTATGGGCTGCAGAGGATGATCAGATGAGGTTCTAAACTCTTCTAGTTTTATTTCCTCCCCTGTGACATCCTTGTATTTCTCACTGTATTTTCTTCCCAATCTTAAGTCACTGCTCCTTATAGTGGCTGAATAAAATATGATTTCCAACTCAATGTGTAAACAGTAAAGTTAGACACTCGGCACGATCATTTTAGCTTTCTCTGACACACTACCAAAACAATTAGCTCTTTATCTGACCCTCAGTTTTAAACAATTTGAGAGCTTTAGAGTTCCCCCATTCTCAGCTCTAGAGCCATGCATTCATTCACAAGTGCAGGAACTCACTCTTCCTAATCCACTTTCCTACAGAAAATATCAATTTTTAATTCACATCTTCAAAGCGCGACAGCGGAACAGTTGCTCCTTCTCCCTTTCTCACAACGAATCTTCATCTTAACCACAGAGAACACTACCGTGTATTTATACCTCTTTCAAACGATCTCTAGTTGCAGCCCATCAGCAAATAGCTTAAACATTAACTCTTGCTGATCAGTTTCACTCTCAAATTGTTATCCTCCCATGAAGTATTTCAGTTTCTGGATGCTGGAACTGTCTGTAAAGGCAAAAGCCAAGCACAGGATGCAAGCATTCAGCTCTCTCACAGCTCAGCTCTACTCGACACCCCTTAAGAACGACATATTACTTATGAAACACCTGTATTTTGATTATTGCATTCTTCTTGTGCCGCGTCTTATAAAACATTTAGATAAACGGAATTGATTGAAGCTGTGCTTGGATAGCAGAAGGCTTTTATTCTTTGCAAGCACAGCACCACAGTTATTTCAGAAGTAGCTAATTCACTTGAAATAAGCCAAAACAGATGATCACTAACAACAAGCAAGCACGCACGTATATGCATAATGAGGAAAAAAGGTGTCATCATAAAATACTTTGTGATTAGAGAAGTACGTTTTATTTACTCTCTCTCCACCCTCATGCAGGAAAACGAGGCAATAGAACCCGCCCCGGCCCCTCCGAGCCAGAGGGGCTGGACAGGAGATCGGGAGGGCTCAGCTCCGGAGGCTTCGCGGCCCCGCGCACCCAGAGCCCCGCCCGTGCGGCGGGCAGGCTCCGCCGAGGCCACTTCTGTCCTCCCGCCTCTCCCGCCGCCGGGCTCGCCCAGCTTCTCACCGCCTTCCCCCGCGGGAAGGGCGGCGAGGAGCGGAACAAGCGAGTCCCGCAGCAGCGCGGTGCGCCCGGGCCGGAACACACCTCGGCTGAGAGCAGCCGTGCCCGGAGCCGTCACCGCCGCCCCCCGGCTCCCTCCGTCACCAGCACCGGGACCAGCACGGCGGGACCGACCACCCCCTGCCCCTCACGGCGCGGCCTCACCGTTCCTCCTGCTCCCGGCCATGGCCCCGCGGCCCCTCCGAGCACCCGATACGGCCCCGCGCCCGCTCTCCTTCCTGTTGGTCGTAGCGACTGTCGGTCACGGCGCTGAGCGCCGCCATTGGCGGAGGCTGCGGCAGGGCGTACCCGCGCCACGAGCTGCTCCCGCCCCCTCCCGCCCCGCCTCAGCAGGCGCGATGCCCGCGGGCTCCGGCAGGGGGCGCGCGGCTGCGCAGAGCAGGCGGGGGCGCCCCTGCCGCGCGCGCGGGAGCGAGGGCGGGGGTGCGCGCGGGGCGCGAGGGGCGGGGGGAGCGGCGCGCGGCGGGCGGGCGAGCGGCGCGCGGCGGCCCCGGCGGGTGAGCGGCGCCGGGGGACGCTGGGCGCGCGCCGCTGCTCCCGCTCCCGGCGTCTCCTTAATCCTGACCCGCCGCAGCCCGCACCCGCCGCGTTAATAATGCACTAGAATGTCAGCGCTGAAAAAGGTAGGGAGGGAGGGGAGGCAATGGAAGGGGAGGAGAGGGAAGGGGTCGCCGTCGGGGCGGCAGGCGCTCCGGGCTGTTGGCGGGGTGCCTCCGCACAAGCAGCAGAGGGAACGGGCGGGTGCCGGTGCCGCGGGTCCGCGCGGGGACCGCACCGTCGGGGACGGGCGCCTGGGCAGCGGGGCGAGGGCGCGCCAGAGCGCCGTCGGTTGTGGTGTCATCCGCCACCACCGGTGCGTCCCGGCGTCGTGCTGGCCGTGGCGGGGGTCTCGCCTCGCTACAGCCCGGGCAGGACGGCGGCGCGGCAGAGTGCCCGGTGCCTGAGCGGGGCGGCCGCGGTCTGGCACCTTCCCGTGTGGCCGAAGGGAGCGGCGGGGAGGGGGATGCTGCGAGCGGAGCCGCAGTGCCGGGGCGATTTAAATTTTGGCAGCTCGTGATTCTAGGGAGGAGAGGCGAGGAGGGGCCGGGGGATCGGGGGGATCGGGGCTGGCTGGAGGCGCACCGCCGCCTGCACCGCGCCCCCCTTTCCCTTGCCGGCCGCCGTGCCGTGCCCGGGAGGGCGCGGGTACGTCGGAGGGGCCGCGCTGCTCCGCCAGGCTTCTCCCAGTCCTCCGGAGGGACGGCCCGGCCCCCAGGGGCGGTGGGGCGGCAGCCGAGGAGGGGCGGGCGGCAGGTGAGTCCCGCACGTTCCCCGCGCCGGCTCTGCGCGTCTTCCACGCCGCGGGTGCGCAAGGCTCGGTGCGGCTGGAGAGTCCGCGGGCGCGCACCTGGAGCGCGGGGGTGGGTGCCGGGCGCATCTGCTGCGCTGCCCTCGGTCACCGGGGCGATCGCGGGTGGCTCTCGCCGCACAGAGGGCGGCGTTCGCGGGCGGGTTGGCTGAGCGCCTCCGCGGTCGTTTGAAACACCGTCTGCCGGAGAAATAAAATAATTACTCAGCGTCGTAATGAGAACGCAGCGCGCTCCAGCCCGCCTCGCCTCCGCTCCCGGCAAACCGCCCGGCGGCCGCCACCGTCGGGGCGGGCGGTCCCCGCCGGCCCGGGCCCATCCGCCGCTGTGGGGCCGGTGCGGATCGGACCGGGGCAGGGGAGTGGGGAGACTCGTCCAGCCGGAGGGAAGTGCAAGAAAGGGGCTTTCTTCTACGGCCCCGTTTTCTGTCGCCTTCGTAACCTAATTCCTGCCGCTCCTGGTGTCCCAGTTCTAACAGCGGTGCCGGTGCCGTACAGCTTGGCGTTTAGCCATGAATCTATATGTAAGTGCTTCGGCCTCAACTTCCCTCCAACTTAAAGGCTTCTAATTTACGGCGACAACAGCCTACTGTTGTTTGTTTCCAATTTTGCTTCGTTGCGGCACCTTCTTACACATGCTTAATGTGCCTTGGGAGCAGGTGATACTTGAATCTCTTCCAAATTACAGCCCTAAGAAGGGGACCAAGTGCTCCCGTTACCTTAGGTGATGTGAGCCCAAGATCACTGCTGTGAAAGCAAGTGCCCTTCTTAGCACTGGAGTGTTCTATATCTATTTCTCTCTGCTTCACAGTAGCAACACAAGCACTAACAAAATTTGAGACACTGGACACCTCTAGCCATTTAGGCAGTAGAAGACTGCAAGCAGGCATCCTGCGAGGAGCAGTGGTCACCTCAGTGTGACTGAGTGCAGATCCAAATGCAGATGATGGAGAAATCTCATGTGGGATCTTAGTAACTAAATGTTTTTTACTGTGGGATGTGTCAGGGGAGCATATTGATGGTACTGGACGTTTTAAAAAGCAGCTCAGGGATAGAGCAGAGGATGGATGGAAATATTTTATAATGCACTTGTATTTGAGGTGTTCACATCTGATTCGTTTCATTTTTCTGTCTTTATGTTCTATCTGGAAGACAGGTAAATAGGAATAGTAGAAGTTTTCTATTTCTCTGCTTTCAGCAATATAGCAATACTTCGTCATTTCCAGATGGTTAGCACAAAACATTTTCTTTCAGAACTGCAAGTTTTAATTTTACTATGTGTAGCTATTTTTACTAAGTAGATCATATAATTTTTGTTTCAAAGGCTCTTCCCCCCCCACCATTTTGCATGCTTTTCAGAATGTGTCGTATGTGGTTAAAATGGACTCAGACAATGTTTAATAGTTTTATGAATTACAGTGTTATACATTGGAGATTTAATTCTGAGTGCTCAAGGCAGACCCTGTGTGATCTGACATAATATTCCTAAGTTAAATAATGCATTTATCATGCCATTGTTCAGTAACACATGAACTAAAATCTAGGATTATCAAATAAATTTGTTGATTTCAGATTTTTTTAGCTTTTCATTTTAGTACTATAAAGTGCTATTTGCATTTAGTTAGTCATATATCTAGTTTGCACTAGAACTAGTATGCCACTAGTATAGGGCATACTTCTAATAACTTTTTAGAATTTTCAGTCCCTCTGAAATGAGTTTGAATTCCTTGTGCAAATTGAAATTATACTTAGAGTGAAGTCATAAATGCTTTAAACAAGCATTTAATAATCAGGAAACACAGACTTAGACTTGACAGAGGTCTAAGTTCTGTCAAGTCACTTGAGGAGAATGTGTTTTGTCTATGTAACACATAAAACCACAGTCAAATCCAAGACTTGCTGAATCAATGGTAATAACCATAATGACTTAATGGGACTGGGATTTCACGTTTGTGTACCGCAAAATCCCACAAATATTAATAGTGATACTGTTGGAAATGCCAAGCTGTTGAAACAAAAAAGTCACCAAAGCAAGACAAAAATTTCAAGATCCTTTGTGCCAAACTAAAAGTTATATTCTTAATGAATTCAAATACATGAAACAAGTTATTTTTATAGTAATTGGTACATGCGATAGAAGAAACATATCTCTGAAAAGAAGGATTCATACCTGATCCCAAGGAAAGCTTGCATGTCCAGTTTCCACCGTGTCTGAAGATCAAGCAGCATTCTGCCCAGAGGGTACCCCTGAATTTTACCTGTCCTGGTCCACTTGTCATGTCACAGTTATGAAAGGGTTTTTTGACAGCAGATACTCTGGAAGGAAATATTTGTAGATGCAGTCTGTGAACTTCAGCTTGATTGTGAGCTTTGCCTGGATAAATTGTGGCCTTCAGAGTAATTATTAACATGAGATTTTGTGCCTTAACAAGAATGGTAAAATGTTATTTTACACCTGCCTTTGGCAAGAACTTTGTTTTCCTGTTTGTAATTATGCATAGTGAAAGCAATTTCCTTGTATAACTATGATAATCCTATGTGAAGTTTTAGTAATAAAAAGAACATAACCCCTCAAATAACCTGCTGATTTTTTATGAGGTATACCATTGGGGGGCCTTTGAATCTGCATCAGTCAAACAAAAACAGCTGTTTTGGTTCTACTCCATGAACAAGACAGGTCTTATTTGCTGTTTCACTTAATCAGTGCAGTGAATTTGTTTATATTTAACCATGCATGGTGAATGAGAGGACCACTAATGCAGAAAGTTAGTGCTAGCCCATTTGTTGTGATTACATTTAAGAAAGACTTTCAGTTCTTAGAAATATATTACATGGGCCAAAATATCCCATTGAATGGAAAATGTTCTGTTTGCTAAATGGATAGTTTTGTTTGAATAGCTACAGGAAAAAAAATTATACACATCAGTTCAGTTTGCCTTGCAAAAATTCATAGTCATCCACGAACCATATGGCTTTCTTACCTCTAGTAGAGAAATAGCTCTCAGCATGGCAGATACAGTATGTCAACAGCTATGATCAAATATAAGTAGAAGTGGGCATGGATGAATCAGAATCTCTTTTAAAGTAGACTTGTTGGAGAACACAACTTCTCATATTTCAGTCCATATATATCTCCATTATAGAACTATATTTCCCAGAACAGATTATAGTTCATCACAACTACTTTCTGTTGGAGAGGCCAAAATGATTCATTAAAGTAGAATAAGTACTCTTCCCATGATATTTATTTAGAAAATGTCAAGTAGCAGTTTATTCATTTAGTACACGCTTGGTTGTGATGAGAGAATGGAAATCGCTGCAGTTAGATTTCTCAATCAGTGTTTCCACGCATGCATATATATTAGGTCTCACTTTGCTTTTATCTCTTTCTCAATGTACTCTTTTAAATACTTCTTTTGTGCATAAAATTTACTTATCTTCCATGCATTTTCATTCCGTATTTGTCACATTTCTCTGTCCCTGCCAGTTTTGAAAATGAGCAGCAAATAACTTCCAAAATGGCATTGGCCTTAAGCCCTCTAAATTTTTTGTGGCTTTATAAGCATATATTCCTATGATGTAAAAAGACTTTCTTTGTACTTTTGATAGTGAAGGTAGTATACACCAGCAGTTAGCAGAAATACATGAGGTATACCATAGATGAAGGCTTTTATCTCACAGGGGGAATCGGTGTCTGTTATCTTCAGGAGTCACTGCAACCTCTGTGTGTAGATAAATTGACAGTAGTGGAACATATCAAAAATATAACCAAATGCATAAATCCAACAAGACAAAAATCAGTAATTTAAAGATTCAGACATTACACAAATAGGAGAAAGAGC